CTTTCTGGTCACGCCTACTCTTCTTCGTATCGGCCTTGTCCAGTGGATTGACAGTGGCCGGAGAGGGTGTAGGAGTGGTGTACTACGCCATCCTTTGCCTCTCTTCACAGCACCATTCATATCATTTCCGTTTCTTGACACTTCAGAATTCATCACCGGAGGTGGGTTTGCAAATTCTGATGCTGGATTTCCGGCCGTCTGCTTCTTAGCCTTCTGGCCTCTCCGCACCTTCTTCTTGGCCCCATTCTCTTGCGACACAATATCTTCTGCTACAATTGGGACAGCTCCGGGTAGCGCCGACCCTGTTGCCGCCGCGGAGAGCTTCTGCGCAACATTGGCCTTGACGAGATCTGCTATAAATGGCGAACCAGGACTTGGAAGGTTGGCGGCTGCTTTGGCAAGCATGGCTTTCACAGGGGTTTCCAGTTCGCTCGGCTTCGATGGTCGTCTCTTTTGCTGCACTGGCGATGCTGATCCATAGCTCACGATGGCGGGATCGACGAATGCTGCTTTGGTGGGTGGAGCTTCTGGCAGCTCAGCGACTGGCGGTGGGGCTTGTCGATAGGCCTGCGAAGCGGTTAGCTTGGAAGACACTCTTGTAGGGAGTGAGACTGACATTTTGTGGGATGGGAGCTTGCGCAAATTCCGGTTGTATTCGAGGAGGCGGTGGAGGCTGCTGCGGAGGAGGAATGGCGCTCGTTTGGGTGACTTCCAAGTCCTCAATGGCGGTCGCTTGAAGAGTCCAGGTCTGCCATCGCGTGCCTGAACTTGGAAAGTACACGTTCTGCAGTGTAAGATGGGAGCCGGCGACGATGGATTGCAAGACTCCACAGACAACTTGGCCGTTCTTCAATTTGATCCAGACGGTGCTTCCGACAACGTCACCCATTCTGGCGCGTCCCGTCGAGGCAGTGTTGGTGATATTGATATCGATGCTGTGTCAAACTTTCAAAAGGACACGACTGTCACTATCACGCACCTCTTGGCTTGGCCTCGAGCGTTGTTGGTTTGGTGAAGCTTTCTCAAAATAGACTTGCATGTGATTTAAGCTTTTCCTCGCACAGAACTAAAGTGGGTCCTGCTGCCGACTTCTGTGCTACAACGCGACGCAAATACCACACAGTATCGATACAATGAACGCGTTGTTTGTGACGGAGCGAATCTCCACTCTCGTGGCTCCTGCGCCGGTGACATGGAAAATCTGGCGCGAAGAAGACCGACAAATGTCACAAATGACGGCCGCGGTGAAGGCCAGGACAAAATTTCTACCACCAACCTCTGATCACTTTTTGGCTTCATCTATCAAGTCGGTATACCGAGCTTAGAGCCAGCTCACACCTGCTCATGACGCCAATCATGCTTAGGCAATGGAGTTGTAATACAAATACAATGCCACCTTTAGCAGGAGACTCATCACGTCATCCTGAACCCTCGATTAGTCCTTGATAACTATCCGTGGCTCTCGTTCCTGCCGCCCACCCTTCGGGTAGTTATAAGCTATCTTATAATTTCCACTTTCTCGACAAGTTATAGCACAATATCACTATAAAGCTATTAGACTAGTACATTGGCGCTAGACTAAGCAAACAAGACCTATAGAATATACTAAACACCTCTATATATAATATTAACTACTAGGTAGTATTATAAGTCTACTATATTACTATATTTACTTACTATTTCTAGGCAATAGTAAGGAAACCTATTATATAGATCTAGCACGTTATAAAGAAGGATATTATTAGTAATAACGTATAGTAGATATATAGGAATATCTAGGCCTATAAGCTTACGCCTATAGTAGTATTTAATAAGGGCTATTTACTAAGTAGGCTTTATCTTTACGTTTAGTACTTGTCGCTATATAAGTGTACTACGACTACTACGACGACCTATAGCGCTTAGATATTAGAAACGAAGCTTCTAATAGTTAACGTACTTATTAGTAGACTATTATTTAATATTAGATATATAATCGTTATAGTCTTAGTAGAAGGATATTATCTTGTCTAAAACCGCCTAGATCCGGTTCTCTTCGTACGTATAGGGCGTTATTTTTGCGATAGGGCGACGACTTAGAGTATATATACTAGCGGTATTACGGACTCGAGGTATTATTAGAAATTCGATAGATATATATAGAAGCGATTAGGAAAGCGAAATAGTACATATAATAGTTATACAGTAATATTATAATATAACTTGTCGAGAAAGTGGAAATTATAAGGTGGCTTATAACCACCTCGAAGAGGTAGCGGCAGGGACGGAAGCCACGGCCAGCAGTACAAATACCCATTAGATTCCAGATCATCAGCGATTGATCAATAAGAAGGCTCTTTGTCAACCCAGACACTTTATCTGAATATTCTACAGCATCACATCTTGAAAATAGACACAATGCCAGCTAACAAGATCGAAGAGATCTTCAACGTCAATGGTCTCGTAGCCGTCATCACCGGCGGTGGAAGTGGCCTGGGTCTGTATGCAGCAAGGGCTCTCGACGCCAACGGAGCAAAAGCAGTCTACGTTCGTGCCTTCTCACACCCACTCCAGACCTCATTCGATCAACTAACGCCTGTTCCAGATTATCGGCCGGCGAGAACAAAACCTCAAAGACGCAGCCAAGACGGGCGTAAACGGAACAATCAAACCCATAGTCGGAGACGTCACAGACAAGAACTCTCTCCTCAAAGTCGTCGAACAAGTCCGAAAAGAACAAGGCTTTATAAACCTCCTCTTCGCAAACGCCGGCATCATGGGTCCATTGCATAAACACGTAATCGCAAACGGCAACAAGCCTTCAATCAAAGAATTCCAAGAAGCGATGCTGGCGCCAGATATCAACGAATACACTCAAGCCCAACACGTCAACAACTCCGGAGTCTTCTACACATCCATGGCCTTCCTCGACCTCCTGGACGCAGGCAACAAGCAGAAAAACGTGCCACAAGATTCGCAAATCTTGGTGACTTCGTCCATCGCGGGGTTTAGCAGATTTCTGGCTTCGTCGTTTGCATACAGTACTTCGAAAGCGGCCGTGACACATCTTGTCAAGATGCTGAGTACGACTTTTGCGCGGCTGGGGTTTCGGATTCGTGTTAATCTTATCGCGCCGGGGCTTTATCCTAGTGAAATGACGGAGGGCATGACTTCGAAGTTGGCTCGTCATGCTGGTGTTGAGGGACACGAGGGCGCGCACGAGGGTGCTCATGTTTTGGATCTGGATAGATCTCCTGCTGGGAGGACGGGGAGTGAAGAGGATTTTGCTGGGACTGTGCTGTATATGGTATCAAGAGCGGGTGCGTATTTGAATGGCGAGACTCTGGTCACTGTGAGTGGATTTGCTGTTGCGTGGTTCCGCTTGGTTACTGACCGTTTCGCAGGATGGTGGTCGGCTTGCACAACTACCAGGAGTTTACTAGTGCTTCTGTCGTCTCCTTCTATTGCCATGCAGACATAGAACCGCATCACATATATTCGCATCCACATTTAGCTCGAGCCGTGCGAAATGGAGTGACATCAATCAGTAGTATTACACAAGTCCCTACCACTAGTGAGGCTCATCAATACCTATACATCCCAATATACCCATACCATAACATAACCTCATCAACCAAATCGCTTTCTCATCTTTTCCCCATCTTCACCTCCCCCGTCCCGCACTTCTACTCCGCCTGGGACTCTCCTCACTCCTCGTCGGCACAAACGGAGCCGGAGCCGAATCCTCACTACAACTCCCATCAACAACACTCTTCTCCATCTTCCCACTTGAACTATTCCTGAGCGTCGTACTATCACCCTCGGAATCCTTAACCTCCTCCCCAAACCTCACATGCCGCTGATGCCATTCCGAAGCCTCATAATCATAAGGTTCCTCACTATCCTTGCCATACCACAACGGCTCATTGGCCGCGATTTTCTTAACGTCGAACCACGGCCGCGGCGAAGAGTTCGCGGTGTGGAAAATGTAATCGATTTCTTCGAGACAGCGCAGAGAAGTTTCTGGGTACAGGAAGTAGATTGTAGGGAGGATGACGGCGTTGGTGGAGACGAAGATGAGGTAAGTTTTCCAAGTGGAGGTGGTGAAAGCTATGGGGGCGATGAGGACGACCAGCCAGTTGGCGAGCCAGTTAGCGCCTGTGGAGAGGGCGTTGGCAGGTCCGCGGATTCGGAGAGGGACGATTTCGGCTTGGTAGAGCCAGGACATTCCTTGCCATCCGATGGCCCAGCACATGCAGAAGAGGAAGACGAAAGCTGTGCCGGCGTCGAGGGATGCGCGGCTGTTGATGCGGAGCATGATGGTGAGGATGATCATACAGAAGAGCATTCCTGCTGTGCCGAAAAGGAGGAGGGCTCGGCGGCCGCAAATTCTGTCGATGCACCATACTGCTACGAAGGAGGCGAGGAAGAGACATGTCCCTGCTCCAGCTGCGAGGAGGCGGGATTTCCAGCCTATCCAGAGGTATTGGTTCATGAACATGGCAGCGTAGTATTGTGTCATGAAGTTGATTCCACCCAATTGTTGGCTCAGCTGTAGGACAACTGCGAGCACGACACGGTGGAAGTCGCGGTAATCGCCCATGTGGAAGAGGCTGGGGAAGGATGCTTTGGCCATTTCGACGACGGCGTCTTTGATTTGGAGGAATTCTTGATGGACTTCGTACGTGTCTGAGTGCATGTCGTTCAGTGCGGAGAGGACCTTCAATGCTTCGTTCTCTCTGCCCTGAAGGATGAGCCACCTATGTATCCATGTCAGCGTTTGACGAAACACAAGCTCTGTTGCGGTCAAATCTCACCTCGGAGACTCTGGCATAAACCACACCAGCGCTGCCGCCACGACAATCATGAAGATTTGCAAAGCAAGCGGTACTCTCCAGCTGGCTGAATTAGGATCAAGCCAGGAGAAAGCGAAATCCATCCAGTAAGCTGAGGTAAGGCCAGCCGCAATACTTGCTCCAGCGGTAAGCATCAAAAGTGTCCCTCTGCGGTGAGCTTTTGTGCACTCAGCCTGCCAAGCTGGCATCATGGTACAATTCAACCCAATCCCCAATCCAGCAATCAATCTGCCCACGAGGAATTGACCCCATACAAAAGACGAACATTGTATAACCTCGCCGATCAAGAGCAAAGCCAGGCCAGCGCAGACCAACTTCTTCCGCCCAAGCCCATCGCCAACGAATACGGCGGCCATGGCAGAAATGAAGGCTCCCAGGTTCCATGCTGATATAGTGAGTCCCATGAGATTCGTTGCCAAAATGTTGCCGGGTTTGTCGATGATATCTATGTCCGGAAATTCTCGCATGAAGCCAGGCATTGTGATCCAGCCTCCCATAAGGCCCTGATCATAGCCATACAGGCTGCAACAATAGTCAATGCTGTACTCACAAGGCACCCAAACAGCACGTCTTACAAGAAACATAGAGCCGCTACAACTCCAATGGCGTTCGACAGCGGCTGTCCTCGCAGGCCCAGGTACTCCTGCTTGAACATGAGGTTCTTCGTTGCAGACATGCTTGCGACTCCAATCCAGCTCGGGACGAGTTTTCGAAAAAGTCGTCGTCAGGACTGATCAAGAGCAAGATGTATGTACAGTACGGAAAGAGACAGGCGAGAGAAGGGGAAATGTGCATCCTGCCACCCACCGTTATACTGACAGCATTAGAGTGTGCTCAATGCCAACGGCTCACAGTGATCTTCGCTGTTGACACTGCAGTTGACTGTTGCTCTGCTCTCGGTAGCTGAAAAAGTGACGTCGAGGGCTGAAGAGAAGGTTTTGCTCCAGAAAGCCACTCACAAAAGGGGACGTGATTGTCACAACGCATCCGGATGCACTGTTCGGGTTCCTGCCTTTCCCATCCGTCTCTTTCTATTGGAAGATGCATGTATATAAAGCTGGTAGACAATGTCATGCTGTTCTGTTGCTGGTTGTATGCGCAGGGGCTCCTGTAAGATGTCATCCTGCACGAAAGCTCTCAGCGGGATCGACCCGACCTCGAAATCGGACATGTGAAGCCGGTGCGGTGATTGGAAGCTTTGGGACAGAATGATCCTCCCGAGTCCTCCCCACGTACTGTACAGCTCCGTGTAGTAGTATGGTATGCTCGTTTCTGTACCCTTCCAAACTCCCCAGCCATTGCCAGCTCCATCTACGGAGTGCATTATATGCAATTCCTTCTTCCGTTAGGTAACAATTTGCTTGCCATCGGATGCTGCGAGTGTCGAGCTCAGCTTGTCAAGCACAAAAGAGTTGGATGAATGATGATGCGCGGAGTCAGGTACCAGAGCCGATTGGTGTCGATCTTTAGGAGTGCTTTGACCTGCGTCTCGGCGCGCCAGCCGGACAATCCGCCATCGTGTGGAATGTTGGATAGATAGTGAATAGACGATGCAACAGATTCCCAAAGAAGAGGGTGTTCTGGTGCATGATGATTCAATGCAGGCGGGAAGTCTGAAGCATCGTGCGCAAGCGAGCGATATGACGTGCCAAGACTTACAGGGAAGGGACTGAAGGTATGTAATGCGGTCGGTATTGGCGCCTCTTGTGGGCTGTACGTCTTCTAAACATTCATATATCATGCTGCATAAACATATGTCTGTCCGCGCGTGCGGTACTAAGAAGGAATCAGATGTATAGACAATGACGTGCATCACCAGCAACCGTCTATCAAAAGCCTCGCCTCGCATTTGCCGTGCTCATTAAGGTGATCTTCTGCTTCTTCCTGCCTTTCTTACCACCAGAGGTAGGCTTGACGTTAACATTGAGGCCATCCATGGACTCGGCAAGCGCCTGCTGTTCTGGGCCGTCGAGAAGATCCTTCTCCCAGCCTTGCAACCAGCCATCTTCCTGCTGTCTGAATTGGTCGTCAGTAGGGAGACCCTGAAGATCTGCATCAGAAGAGGCAACAGCACTTGTGCCCCACACTGTTCGATTCACATTGGGCGATGTTGATGGGGACGCCAGCGATGTGAAGCCAGGACGACCAGCATTATTCGGGAAGGGTGGTGATCCTGGAATGGCAACTCCTTCCGCTATGCTTGCTGGCAGCGCAGGAGAGAAGAATGCGTCGTTCTCGGTGATGGAAGGTCTTCTTCGCTGGCGTAGATGTGCCAGCTCCCTCTCCGAAGCTTTCTCGATCCGGATTCGATCTTTCTCCTCCCGTGCTTCCTTTTCGTCGTTGCGCTTTCGTCTTCGCTCAAGCATTGGCCTGAATTCCTCGAGAACCTGCGCACTGACTACATCTCGCCAGTCGCACTCCAGGAAGCCGACCTCACAACCGTATGGGAGGTGTCCGAGGTACTTGACGCGCTTTCTCAAATCATCATCGACGACATGTCCACTGGACACGCGTTCTACACGCGGAAGGATGCTGGACGGGAAAGCATTGTACGTGCCAAATGCGGTCTTCAGTATCCTTATGTCCAGCGGCGAAAGATAGTAGTGTAAAAGTCCATGGTAGAACAGATATTCGTTGGGCTGAGGTTTCTCGAATTGTCGTCGTCGCATCTCGTGCAATGTTCGCGGCACATTAGGGCTGCTTGAAGGTTGTACATCGCCGGGCTCTGTCGTTTCCGCAGATAGACCAGAAGGACCTGCTGCGCTCTGCCTTTGCAGGTACATTTCCGGAACGCCCTCGTCGTTGGCATTAAACTCTATCGGCGGCCTGTCTGGTATAGGCTCTGTTGGCGGATCTGGTTTCTGCGGCTGCGCAGGCGGATTGCCAATACCGGCGACTTTGTCCTTGGATTCTTTAAGCATCCGTATAGCTCTGCCAGTCCACTCCGCGTCTTCCCCGAACATCAGCTCATCTTCCTTTTCCATTTTTTCGATGGCAGCGATAGCCTCGTCGTATTGCTGTATCATGTAATTTTCACTGCCCTTCATTACTCTCGCGTAATCCATCACTTCGGCTGCGAAGTACCAAGGTATTGCCTCTCCTTTCGCGACCACCTCTCCGCTCTCACGAGGCATGGCGAGTGTGCTGCCAGGCTTCCTCTTGACCAATCGTAACACAAAGTCGCCACCTTCACGTGGCTGATCATTCTCCTGGCCGTCGTACCACCGGACAGGTCTGGTCTCTGATACATAGATGCTGTCCCAGCAGATTGGACACTTCTTCCATCGCGCCCTCTTCTCCGGTGGTGGGTTCGTCGCGTCCTCGGAATGCATGTATCTGATCAAGCAGGAAGAGCAGAAGATGTGACCACATTTGGCCATGCGAGGCGCGGTCGGCTCGCCTAGGCAGATCGGGCAAGATGCATTCTGCGTCTTTCCTGAGGCGATAATTTGAAGGACGTTGTTCCAGTCCAGATGCACATCGGCGTCGGCAGCCTGAGCAGAGTAGTCGCCTCTCGGATCGACAATGAAGCGATAGTTGGCATGTATGTATCTGCGCATGTTAGACTCCGGCCTGATCTTCATGTCAAACCAGGCATGCTTACCTGGCCTTGTCTACAGCATGATAGCCACTCCCCATGCCCCATGACGCATTATGCCTCTGCTGTCTCCTGGGCCCATTGTAGCTGTGTCTGTGAAAGCGATCCTGAGCATTCGGCCGCGGTGGCAAAGCAAATTGCATAAGATGCGTGATGCTCTGCTGGCCGCGCCGTCCGTGTGGGTTCTGCATGCTGTATAGCTCCGCATCGGCATCCTCATCCAACGCCTTGAACTTCTTCCCCTGTTTATGCTTCGGCTTGCTAATTTGATTGCTACGCGGTGCTGGAGAAGAGCGCTGTCCTGACGCGCCGCCGAGCCGTTTGCCTGCTGGGGAATCGGAGAAGAACTGCTGCGTCGATGAAAGCGCAGGACTGATCTGGCTCTGCGCAGCGAGCGACTGAGACTTAGACACCGAAGCTGCTGCTTTATTGCTGACGGGAGTGTTGGACATCTCGATTGCTAGGGAAGTAGTTGGCTGTGTTTACGCTCCGATAGCCAGTCAAGGCGTCGGCGGCGTTGCTGCTGGTGCGAGCGCAGCGGATTGTCTGAGCCGAGCGAGGGGCTTCTTGGTATAGTGGGAATTGGTATGCGGTCGTGTAGTCGGTCTCGGTGGTGGTAGACAACCCATAGAGGGAGTCGACGAGCAAGAGAAAGGGAGCGCAGCGATGATGCGAGTGAGTCGACTGAGAGCGTGGCGGGGTGTTGGCGGCCGGGAACTGCCGAGATTCAGGGCATCAAGACATCGTGCTCCAACGCAGCTTCCTCTTTCGATGCCACAACCTTGATGACATATCAGCTACCATTGAGCTAGCACGTGAAGACTCAAAGCTCACTGGACCACGAGCTACACTCAAGGACAGCACGCTTGTGGTCTGACTTTCTCATCACTCGCCACAACCCCGGCAACATCGCAAACTCAAGATGTTGATAACAGAGTCGTACAAAGATGTGCCAACCCAGCATGGCGGCGATATGCGTGAGATGACATTCGACATGCATAACAGCCTGCTCAGAGGCTGATAAAAAGGTAGGTGTCTTCATCTTCCATCCTACCATACCAAACTACCCCAAGGCAAAATTTCCCGGTGTCGTGGTTTTCTCCGAGATCTACCAAGGTAAGTTCCCAGACCGTCCAGTGAAGGGCACAGCTCTAGGTACTGATGAGGCTTCTCAGTGACGGGCCCAGTGCAGCGCTTCGCCCGTCAGATTGCTTCTCATGGCTACATTGTAGCTGCGCCATCCAGCTATCACGAATTCACTGGCCCAGAGCCATTGGCCTATGATGGACCAGGAACTGATAAGGGAAACGACTGGAAAGTGGCCAAGAAGGTGTCCGCTTACGATGAAGATGCCACGCTCTCGATCGACATCCTGGTGGGCTTGGAGACCTGCAATGGGCGCATTGGAGCGACCGGCATGTGCCTTGGTGGTCATCTTGCCTTCCGTGCTGCATTCGACAAGCGTGTTCGAGCCGCAGTCTGCTACTTCGCCACTGACATTCATTCCAAGACTCTCGGAGAGGGCAAGAACGATGACTCTTTGGACCGCGTGAAGGACATCAAGGGTGAACTGGTCATGATCTTCGGAAAGCGTGACACGCACGTCCCGCCAGCTGGCCGAGATCTCATCCGTAAGACGTTGCACGACGCTGGTGTGGTATTCTCATTCTATGAGCCGGCCTGGGCGCAGCATGCATTCATTCGAGACGAGCTAAGCAAAGGCCGCTACGATCCGGCGCTTGCGGGCATATGCTTCGAGATGCTGCTTGAGCTGTTCAATCGAAGCTTGACAGGGGACTTGGGTCCTATGGTGAGCGAGACTGGTGAAGTTGAGGACGTATGCTAGACAAAAAGATGCTCTACTTCTGCGGCGGCAATGTCTTCGAGAACCTCTGGCTACATCTCATGGAAGAGCTTTGATCTGCGAAAACTAGAGCCCAAGTCTCCTGCAAGCACAATTCGCTATGACCATAGGTATGAGCCCTCACAGCAATGCTGAATCACTCGCTTCGCCACATCAAATTAACGATATCGCCTTCCCTGACTTTCAATTTTGCGCGCTTCTCGCTAACCTTGCCTCCCATCACCCTTTATGAACATCCTATACACGTTCACAGTAATGATAAATCCCAGCATAACTCCCACCACGAGCGCGAAGAAGTTTGCGGCACGCTGATAAGAACGCGCACTGAAAGTCTCCTGCGGCTTCCACAGAAGTCAGCAACAAGCCAACGAAGAGAAAGAATCACCATATGCAACTTACAACCACCGTCTCCGCCTCCGACTCCGCACCCACAGATTCCGCGCTCTCATCATCAATTCCCTGCAAGCTGTCAAAACCTCCTACTACCACGGAGTGAAAATAAAATCGCAACATACATCAGCCGTGCGCAAATCCCACTGAGAATGCGAACTATTATAATCACGAAAGACATCTCCATGCAACTTTTCAATTCTGATCCCAGCACCACTGTTCACAGTATTATTGAAGACGTGGTTCGGCGTCTGAGCTGCAGTTGTGCGATCGGTGACAAGGTTGATGTAGTTGACTGTCTGGATGAATGAGATGCAATGGGAGAAGGGGAGATTAGTGTTACGGACGCGTTGCTGTTCGCGGTCGGTCATGATGTCTTTGCGTTCTGGCTTGGTTTTGTTTTCTGAGTTGGTTGAAGGGGTCATGTAGATTGAGAACCGGCAGATGATGGGAAGTCTAGAGAGGTGGAGGGTGATTTTTGAAAGGTGGTTCGGGGAATGTCTCTAATGTATGTAATAAAGACAAGGCTGGCAATGATTGCGCTCAGGTACTGCTAAAGAGGCATTGTTCCAGATTGCGCATCTCGTTGGTTCTCGAGCAATCCTTTCCATCTGCTCGGATGGAAGGTCCTTCGAGAGTCACGCAGACGTCCACTGTATCTCTAATGTACGCGCAGGACCCAGCATGCATCTCGGCCGGCAATACAACGAAATGTGAGGTTGAGGTAAGCATTGCTGCCGCGGCTGCCCTTTCGCCTCCAGCGGTCTGCTCACTGCTCTATGTGCCTCGTATTTTTCTAGCCATTTATTCTTCTTGTGAAGACTGGCTCAGACGTCTAGGGTCACCATTCTTGATCATATGTGTGTGAAGTCTCGCCACTTCAGGCACAATCAAGCTTTCAATCTCAAGGGCTGGCTCGTTTGATTCTCCATCAGCGCCAGGCGTCCTGCTCGTGATGCTCTTACTCCTCCTATTTTGCGGCACTCTGATCCATTTTTCCCCACCGCCCGCAGATACAAACAGAACTTCGTACTTGCGAGTGTTGAGAATGTTCCCAATGACCAGATGGTGTGCGTACTTGTCCAGTGCAGTCTTTGCTTTGATTGAGAGCAGATTTGGGTCTGTCTCAAGTTTGAAGCTGATGATCATTGCTCGCGGTGCCCACTCATCGACCAGCGACTTCAAGAACTTTGGAACAGGGTCGAGATCAATGACCAGAGATTTGCCTTCCATATGTGCGGCCGGCTGGCGTCCGCGAAGCTGCTCATCATGCGGCGCATCGCCATTGAGATCTTTCTTTTGCCAGAAATCTTCCGAAGACTGAATCTTGTGCTCGACCATTCTGTCTGCCGGCACGAAGAAATCCGAGACGGCTGCTGCAAGGTAGAAAAGCGCATTGGCGCCAAGAGGCTGTAGAAGCATTGCAAATTCTCGCAAGAGCCACAAATAGTCATTGACGGTGACGAATGGCAGAAGCAATAGTGTGTTCTCTTTCTTGGCTGTCCGGTACCGCTTCAAGACCGAAGCCATTTCTTGCTGATAGTTATTCTGCACAGTGACCGGACCATCTTCGGAGTAGGACATGTAGTCCAGGAAGCAATTCGTGCTATGGCTGTAATGTCTTGAATATGGAAGCAAGGAGAATTGACGATGCAGGAAGATGACTGCATAACCATTCTCGAGGAAGTATTCGGCACTGGTGGCTCCACGAGTTCCAGCAGAGAAATTGTCGATGAATCTGACAGTCTGATTCTCCAGCGGAACGGTCGTGCCTCCAGATGTCACCAACGCCACTCTTCTGCCTTTATCGACATGCTGTTGTATGAAGGCACGTGTCTGCTGCGAATGCCGGTCCAAGTCGTGCGGCTTGGGGTTCTTATCGAAGTACTCCATTTCTGGCGATCCTCGAGCAAAGTGTCCGTTGGTGAAGAGTGGCATGTGACAGCTTGTCTCTGGGGTGCTATGACTGGTAGCGTGCCTGGCGAGCAAGGGGTTTGTTGTTGTAGTGTGAACGTTGGTCGAGCGATGTCAAGTCGAGCTTTACGCGGAGGCCGATGACATTGGACTTCAGTATAGCAGTCAGCCCGGCTGCATGTGCGCGGGCTGAGCGAGACAGATGATGAACGGGTGTTCCATTACGCCGAAATCGAAGATCGAGACATGTGGGCTGCTTCCGAGACAGATCGCGGTAGAGTGATCGATACTACAGCGATGGACACAGTCTGGCGTTCCTTCTTTAGACCTATCACTCCCTCGGCCGAAGTTCGACCGATCCTCCGCTGCTGCCTGAGGCCTTGCCATCGGCTTGCACTTTCTCGACCTTCGATTGCTGGTATGCAACTGTAGTCCACGTCCACCGTAGCAAAGATGCCGCCAAATCCTGCCAAGGGCGCGACGGAGAAGCCGAAGAGTAACGATCGCAACGAGTATATTCCGTCTTTTATCGCCAAGAAACCCTTCTATATCGACGACAACACTGCCTCCGATGCCGATTACCTCGAGCATCAGCGTCTGCAGTCGCAGAAAGATGGCGATACTCTTGCGAAAGCGGAGTGGTACAACCGTGGATCCAATAAGGGTCCCGCCGCGACCAAATATCGCAAAGGCGCATGTGAAAACTGTGGATCGATGAGCCACAAGGAGAAGGACTGTCTGCAGCGAAAACGAAAAGCCGGAGCAAAGTGGACGGGCAAGGGCATCGCCGCAGACGAGGAAGTAAAAGATGTCAAATTGGGTTGGGATGCGAAGAGAGACCGCTGGAATGGATTCGAGGCAGACGAGTACAAAACGGTGGTAGAGGAGTACCAGGAATTGGAAGAGATGAAGAAGCTCGCGGAAGGAAAGACTGGCGGGGATGGCGATGAGCAGGATGGCGAGGGCGCAAAGTATGAGGAAGAAGCAGATATGGGGCGGAAGGTGGCGACTTCATCAAGAAATCTGCGGTTGCGAGAAGACACAGCCAAGTACCTCGTGAATCTAGATCTCGAAAGCGCCAAATATGATCCCAAGACCAGAAGTATGATCGATTCTGGGGGTGGTGATCCGAGTTCGTTAGACGCAGAAGACGGTTTTTCCAGAGCAAGCGGCGATGCGGCAGAGTTTGAGCGAGCACAGAGGTATGCGTGGGAAACGCAGGAACGCAACGCTCCAGACAAGATTCACATGCAAGCGAACCCAACAGAAGCCCTGCTCATACGAAAACGCAAGGCCGAGGAGGAAGCGCAGAAGACAGAAGCCAAGAGGAAGGCATTGGCAGACAAATATGGCGATCAATCATCGATCTCGAAACCCAAGACTGCTCTTGCGGCTGTGAGCAACGAGCGATACGTAGAATATGACGAGCGGGGCCGGATCAAAGGTGAAGCACAAAAGAAAGAGAAGAGCATGTATCCTGAGGATGTCTTTATTCAAAACCATACATCGGTCTGGGGCAGTTGGTGGAAGGACTTCAAGTGGGGCTACGCATGCTGTCATAGCACAGTGAAGAACTCTTTCTGTACTGGTGAAGAGGGCAAGAAAGCTGCAGAAGAAGCCGAAAATTTCTCGAGAGGACTCAATCTACCGTCAGCTGAGGAGAGTGGAAACGCGAAGCTTATCGACAACGGTGAGGCAGCTACTCGACAAGAGGAGCACGTTCCCAACAGCGTTGACCGGCCAGAGAAGCAAAATCTGGACGAGAGCAGAAGAAGGCTAGAAGAGCTCAAGACTGGCGTGACAGAAGAGCAAATGGAGAAGTGGAGGAGGGAGAAAACAAATCAAAACGACCCTATGGCAAAAATTCTAGGGAAGGATGAATTACTAGAGGTCTAAATTCCTTGCATATCTCGAGTCTCTAGCCAGGCAGTACCGAAGTGCTCGAGCATGTCTGGCTAACTCAATACAATCAATCATAAAGTCTCCCTCCCTTCCTTCCGCACACACACACTCTCTCTCTCTCTAACCCCACGGATTTCAATTTTCAAAGCTGACTTCTCCTCATCATCATCTTCGCAAAACTCTCCCTCTGCGTCGACATCCAAACCGATGCCTGATCTTTCTCCGTCTCGGCGATATCTTGTTGTCGTCTGCTTCGCATCATCTCCTCAAACCTCGCTCCTTGATCTGAAATCCAGGTGTCTGCTTGAGATTTTTGAGCTTGGGCGATGAGATTTTGATGTTGAGGGAATTGAGCTGGAAGGCAAAGGGAAAGGGAAAGTGTTAGTTCGTTAGTTACTGTATCAGGGATAGGAGGGAGGGAGGGATGTATATTTACCGTTGATCGGGGAGGGAGGGTTCATTGTTGGTGGAGTAGGAGGTTTGCTTCGGATTGGGATTTGGAATGATGTAGACGTGGTTGGCGCGTCGCAGGTTGGGATGTCTGAGGAATTGGATGCAGGTGTCATGGCTAGCTAGCTACAGCGCGATTTCCTGTGATATTGGAAGAGAAGGGGAGTAGAAGAGAAGGAAGTCGCAAATGGATTATTTATTTATAAGCCTCGCAAGAAAAAAAAACAAAAGGAAATGTTTGCTAATCTCCTTCACTGACACCAGCACATTCGAAATCTTCTAAGCTGTTCACCGTCATCATTCACGGAATCTCGCTCCACACAGTAGTAGTACCACCCATCTTCTTCTTCGGCGGCTGCAAAACATCCTTGGGAACCTTCTCAGGCATCTGTCTTTCTTCAGCCCATCTCCTAACATCCTCAAAATTCCTGCAGATGTGTTTGGTATTGAAATCTACGAAAGGTTCAGGAGAATGATTTCCGTGCGGTTGCCACCAGATTTGTCCCATGACGCCGATATCGACTGTGCACATGAGTTGCTGGCGTAAGATGTCGAGGCAGTGGGCTAGAAGTGAAGATTAGCTAGCTGGGGGGAATAAGGAATTTTTGATGGATTATGGTGAAGACTGACTGGAGTGTTTTTTGACGATGAAGGGTTCGTTTTTGAAGGCGCCTTGGCCGAGGGATTGGTAGTAAGGATAGTTCCAATGGAGAGTCTGGCGGAGCAGGTTCTGTTGAAGAAGGAGTCGGCATTCAAGTATGTAAATTGGACAAGGGGATACCCACGAGACAGTGCAGGTGATGCAGTCCCTCGATATTAGCGGGATAACCTCCTCCGTATTTTTCTTTGAGTTGCACTTGATCTGAGTCCATACCAATTGACTCGGCGATGTAGGAAGGGATGATAATTGCGTGATCTACAAGATTTGCATGTCAGTAGTTGAACACACTGGGAGACGAAAAAATTCGATCTTACAATCTACCCCTAACTCTTTCCACGCGGCATCGACTTCCGGTCCAGCATCTGCCCGATAGACATTCTCTTTAAGCAAAGAGCCATTGAACTGGACCTCCGTCCACTGGATAGCGAAGTCGCGAAGTATGGGCGAAGGCCTCGAGATGGTCTTGATGATCTCCTGGTTCGTGATCTTGCTGGGTTGAAGATGACTTGCAAGATTGAAACCCAGCAAGAAAGATAAGCAGCAGATGATGAGTACAAAAGCCACTTTCGTTTTCGATTGGCGCAAACGATCGCAACTGCATTTTCGCTTTTCCGAACGCTCGAGATGCGACGTTTCGAGCTCTGAATTCTTCTCCATATCAGCATACACCATAGTCGATGGTCGTGCCCAATCCCACTCCTGTCTTGAAACAACCCGACAAGAAGTCGTTGTTATTGTTATGAAGGCCTTGTTATAGAGGTTCTTGTTGCTAAGAGGTCATTTGGTTGCTAGGTGAAAAGTGGGTCTGTAGATGAAGACTCGAGGAAGCGGCTGATTGGAGGCAGTCCCACTCTGCATGCACCCTCCTAAGTGCGTCTCCAACTCCCTTCATCGTCATCCTCCACGTCCATCCTCGAGGCTGAAGCAGTAAGTAGCAAACAAGCTCCGTCTCACCGCATTCAGTGCAACATCTCGTTTCTCGAACCACCGAGTCGGTCCAGTGATACAAATGTGGCGTACGGTACTGTTGTGCACGTCCGAACCAGGATGAACTTGTCCTACTACACGAACGTCTGGTCTGTTTCGAAGGACCGCCAGGATCGCACGATAGCCCTGCTCTGCACTTGAAAGGTTTTGTTTGCTTGGGCAGCATGGCGGAGCTAAGAGTATAAGTTGGGAGAGTTGACCTCGAGAAGGAATCCACCCATCACCGTCGAAGTCAAGATGAAGGGATTGGGAATTGCGCTGGTATTGACTGGCTCGGCTTTCGCTTTGCCCGTTCTTGTCGTGAGGCGAGGCGATCCTATGCCTGCGACGAATGATGCTTACAGTGAGTACGTGGAAACTCGCAGCAATGATGGATGCTGATATGCATGCTTTAGTCGAATACTACACTGTGAGTATGAAAGTCTTCCGTCGGTTGTATGGAGTACTTACATTGCGGCCATGTTAGTACCAGGATTATGGCAGCTACCAATTGACTGGCTACGGCGATTATCCTTCCTATACTCCACCAGCCAGCACGCCACCAGCAACGAAGGAGGATGCCAAAACGGAGAAGGGAGCGAAAGAGTAAAGATGGAGCAGCTTGGAATCAAGTTCTCGAAGGATTCTTTGTATGCCCTGTACAGATTAGTCTACCACTCCAGGGGGTAAGAGCACCACATAATCCAGAGGGGCAAATTCGATCCCACTTGGCTGTCCCACGATTTTCAGCACATCGCCTTTCTTGACCGCGACTCCATAAAATGTGATCCTGGTCGCAGAGTGTCCGTCGATGTAAATTGAAGGAGTATGTCCAAGCTTCCCCGTGTCAACGATATCCGCAGCTGGACTAAAGCTCATCATCCTGGTCTCCGACGAAGCCCGCACCGCCCTCATCCGAATCGTCGAGCATAACAGAATCTTCCTCTATAGCCTTCTTTGCTCGCATCTTATTAACCTTCGTACCGAAGGATCTTAGAGCCGCATTGCCTAGCTCTTCTTTATCTAGTATCTGATACTCGATCTATACGCTATACGAGTAGTATCGAACTATTCTTACTTTGCGCTTCTAGCCTACCCGATTCTCCCTCGTCTTCGCCTATTTACTCGCTGCTAGGTTCTAGTTAAGGTCGGCTATAAGTAACAAGTTCGCTTCGACTATATTATAGCTACGCTTAGCTATACTTACAGAGCAGACGAGAATGTCTACGCCCGACGTCTAGGACCGATTGAACTCTACGATTAGTTGTAATCGCTAGCTAGCGTCCTTCGGTACCCTTAAGTTAAACAGCTACGACTTTAGACTAGCCTTCTTATACGCCTAGATAGAAGTGTTAGTATATTGCTTTAGCTCTTATTTACGAAGGCAGAGCTTACTAGATTGATAGTGTAAGCTACTGCGTTAGAATAGCTTATTACTACGGCCTTACGGCCCTTATTATCTTTAACGGTGTTAGCCGTCTGCTTCTTAAGCTCCGCGATAATGTCCTTAATACGTAGGCTTTCTATAAGCTCGTTAAGGAAGTAAGTATATAGGTCTATATCGGGCTTAAAAAGCTAGCCGAAAGACTCAATCTCCTTTATAGTAAATTCTATTTCCTACTCCTTAGTAGATACCGGCGCGTAGCCTTTGCGCTCTAGATCATTGTTCCTTACCTTAATAAACTTGTTAAGGGCCTTGCTGCAGTTCTTCCGTACCTAGTCGGTTATTCGAGTCGGCAAGGTAAGGCCGCGCTTATCTTTAGATAGTAGAGGCGATAGGGTAGTTCGAATTCGTGTCCTATAAGAGCCGAGGAAAAACTGCCTCTACGCAACCGCCTTAGCGTTAATCTTTCCTAAACGGATCTTCTAGTTAATGCTCCGCTTTAGCTTTTCTACCTAATCATTCAATTCGTTAATTATATCCTAAGGTAGCTTAATGTTCTTTAGCTTCTTATCTGCATTATCTAATAGTCGCATCTTCTGTTCGGGCTTTGTTACGTTAAACGGCTAGACCGATTTATATGTCCGCAGTATAAGAAAGTGCCTTAATACTAGCATAAGTAAGTTAGCTATTAGGATTTCAGGCTCCTTAATAGAACCCTTTTTCTAATGCTCTCCGCCTAAAGCTTTCTCGTAGCGATTAATTATCCTCTTAAAGCCCTCGCCTAGAGGCTTACTTCTAAACTCGTTCTATGCTTTAAAGTCCTTCTAGTAGTTAGGGTCGGATCGCCCCCTGTTATTACGGCGAGCTAAGGCGTCGAAGACTCTAAACTATTCAATTATCGGCTTCTACGTTCTAGCGATTAGGGTGCCTATTACGAAATACACCGCACATTTCGTGTTATAGTTTACGCTTAGCTTACGAAGCGTACTTATGCTGTTCGTATATATTCTATACTCCTCGTTAGCCTCGTCTACTACGATAGCTCTAACTAGTAGAGTGTTGTAGGCCGCGGTTTTGAAATCAGTCGAGCTATTTGCGTAAGGCCTGCCCTCTTAGGTCCTCCTAAACTATACGGTCGAGACAGAGAAATTCTAGTTCTCGTAGAATACGTAGAAACGACCCTTTAGCACGAATACGAGCTTCTTATACAGACCGAGGGGCGCCTTAGTAATGATTGGATTTTACGTAGAGCCCGGACAGTTAACTCCCTTCCGGTACTTATCTACTTTAGGAGTCGCAACGCGATTAGGCGTAAAGCGCATTACGTCTCCCCTTTTGAAGAGCTTAACACTATCTATTTCCTCTTTCGCATTATCTATATTAGGCGGGTTAAAGTTGTATAGTTCAATGCCTAGCTCCTTAAAGTCCGTATAAGCTAGGAATTTCTTTATAGTATCGGGTTTCAAACCGGCAGTTAGGCACAGAATTATAATGCCCTTACGAAGCCTAAAACTACGCTATAGGTCGCGCTGCTTACATCTATAGGGGATAGAAAACTTATTCGCAGATAGGCATTTCGAATTTTCCGTACCCCGTAGAAGGTGTTTCTCTAGATTATCTGTGAAAAACGAAGATTAAAAGTTGCTCTATAGTTTTGCCGAGACCTATAATGTCGCCTAAGATTCCTCCGGCTTCTCGAGTATACTGCGGTCGGCAGAACATAAGCTAAGCAGCTCCGAACACTTAGTAGGCGTATAGCTTTGTCTTAAAGCCCGGTAGGGCGATAGGTGTTTCGGGATCTACGAAAAGTTCAGGCGACAGACGCAGACAGAGGCAGATGCGTTTAACGTGCTCGTGCGTTATCTGCTCTAGCTCGGCAGTATAACTCTAGTTAAGATCCCCTGCCTAGGTTCGCTTAATACGGTCGAGGAGCTCTTTATAGGTCTAACTTAGAACATAAGGGGTCGCCTCTGTCTACTCCTCTAGGTCGTCCGGCTCCGGAGTGTACGTATCTGCATTAACTATAGGCTAAGCGCGTCTAGCAGTCCTGCTATTCCTTATAGGCTCCGAGTTAGTATTAGAGTCGAGCGGCCTAGTACGAGCATAAGGATCTCGTATACGTTTACTAGCATCTAACCCTCTTCCGTTTCTCGTTAGACTATTATCGAGACCTTTACTCGATCTATATAGTTACATCGACATGTTATCTATAGAACGCTAAGAACCTAAAGGATATAGATAACTTTCTCGGGAAGTGACGATCCTAGGCAAAGCTCCCGGCGCGGCAGTGTCTGTAGTCGACTCTTAACTATTTTCCTTAAGTCCAGAACCTTAAGTATTCTCTTAAGCATTCTCTTAAGCATTCTCTTAACTATTCTCTTGACCATTTTCCTTGAGTCTAGAACCTTGAGCATTCTCTTAAGCATTCTCTTAAGCATTCTCTTAAGCATTCTCTTAAGCATTCTCTTAACTATTTTCCTTGAGTCTAGAACCTTAAGCATTCTCTTTAGGATTCTATTGAGCATTCTCTTAAGGATTCTGTTAAGGATTCTCTTAAGGATTCTCTTAAGGATTCTCTTAAGGATTCTCTTAAGCATTCTCTTAAGCATTCTCTTAAGGATTCTCTTAAGGATTCTCTTAAGCATTCTCTTAAGGCGTAGAAGGCACGGCTAGAGCATTCGGCGCGGTAGTAGTTGCAGTCGACGTATAACTGTTTGTATTAAGTCTAGAACCTTGAGCCTACTATAAAGATACCGGCGTAGGGGCAGGCGGTAACTTAAGATCTCTAAGCTTAACAACCTTCGGTAGAGCTCTACCGAATAGAACAGGGCGCTTATCGTTAGGCGACGGTGTCGATGCCCTCGATAATAGAGGGATACTAAATGCGGCGCTACGTAAGAGTTCGCTAGCTTAGAGACCTAACCGCTGTCGGCGCTGCTTATAACGACGCTCCTATATCTCTAGGCTGAATAGTAGCTTCTCTCTTAGCTATAAGTCTTCCGACTCTACTAAAGCTATAGTAGCTATAGCGATCGGACTGCTCGCATTCGTTTTCCGCTTCTTCTCGATATACCTATTAATATCTCGGCTAAATATCGCGCGAGCCTTA